TTTTATTTTGCTACCAATGGCGTTAATTTTAGAAACATAAGAGTTTTTAAACCTTAGAGCTGTACTTGGGTAACTTTACATACCTGATGTTTTTCAGAGCGAAAGCCATCTATGAAATGAAGAGTGGCACATTTTATAAGCTTTCATACCCTTTTGAGAGGCTCCTGTTTAGAGACAAGGCAAACAAAAAGGAAGAGTAACCTACTTTCGCTTTGCTTTATCCGATTTTTCCAAAATAGCAGAGAGGAAGGCAAGTGGGTTTTTTTAATCTCTTTATGTATCTGCTGACATACTGCTTAGGGGGAAAAAAAAAGTGCTAGATTATAAAGTCATCTCTACTCTGCATTTTAGAAGAATGTTGTTATGTCTTTCACATTTATCAGGGTAATATATCTATATAAAAATAAATGTATTGTAATTATAAATATATTGTAAAAATCTCAGTCTCACAGCTGGCAGAGCCGGCCCAGGTGCCCGAGGGAGCGGCCGCAGCGTCGCTGCCGGCACAGCTCCTCCAGCGCCGAGTCCGGTCGCAGCCCGCGGCTCTGCAGGGCACCGCCAACATTCCTCCAGCCGGAACGGGAATCACGTGGCCAAACCCTTTTCACAAAACAGGGAATTACAATCTTCCATTTCCAGTGGAAAAAGACTTAAATATCGCATCATTTCTTAAGTATCAAATACATGAGGATGGGGTAGAGAATTCAGGAACCTCCTTTCTTCACCGGCAGGCTGAACTTCCGAGAAGTCCCGTATGAGCCAATAATGACCTAGAACATTTTACGTTCAAAGTGAATCAAATAACAGTTTAATAAAGTGATCAATACGCAGACTTGGTGTAATTTCATTTTTCAAAATTCTCACAAAAGAAATGACTCTTGTACCGGTGGTCCCTTATTGTGCTTATTCTTGCAGTTAATTGTCAGCTCTCAAAGAAAAGGACAAGAAGAGTCAATTTTCTACAGACGTTTTATTGACGAACAATTTTTTCTTCTTTTGTACGACATACTTTCTTTACACAGCAAAATAAGGAAATTTTTACTCCATAAATAACAAAAACTAGCCCTTATATCTCAATCCAGTCAAAATTTATGTAAAATAGTTTGTTCTATATTTACATTCGGTACCAAAATAGGAAACGCCTGTTCAAGGTCAGCCAGTTCTCCCCAAAACGGTTGTTTTATCTCCAAGGTAAGCTTCACATTAACAAGGCAACATTTGCACTTTGGAAGTCGGTAGCGTAAGATCACGTTATTTAATACGAAGAGACCCAAACCCCGAAGAGCAATACGTGCGAGCAGGCACCCCGGCGTTCAGCCACGCAAATCGTGCCGGGGAAAGACACCTCCCTCTCTGCTCGAACATATTCAAGCAGAAACATTTGCGGGACAGGAAGATTTAAAAAACGACCGGCCCTTGTGAGGGATTGTGGGCACGTCTGCTCTTAAATGACAGCGGTCTTCCTCATTGACTAGCGCTCAGCAGAAAGAATGAGCTGCGTAGGACTGACAATTAACGGGGGTCAAAATTCTCTTTCGGTAATTAACCTGCACCCGGGGCCGTGACAGTCTCCCAAGACCTCAGCTCATTTCGAGAGGAACGAATTGCCTGCTTTGCGATGTCATTTCGCTCGCTGCATGCTCCAGCCGAGAGCTAGCCTTCCTCCTTCTAACTGTCTGAAACACCAGAAAAACGCGTTTCTGAAGAAGGACTTGTCTCGACTTCTAATTGAAATGTTACGGATTTGAACTGCTGGAGTAAAAAAAAGCCCGCAAGACTAATTTACGTCCATAAGCAAAACATGGAATGCGTCTAAAAATGTAAAACTGTGGACATTATCTACTGAAAACGTTTCTGCTACAGACAAGCGACCTCCTTTATCCCTTCGCACTACTTCCAGGGCTCCTGCTGCCCCGTCTCCTCCGGCGAAAACACAAAGGCTGATCTGGGCTACGTTTCAAAGCGTTCACAGGTCAGAGAGGCGATAGGACGGACGCGCCGCAACACGGGCAGGACGCCTACAGCACCTGCCTGCAAACTCCGTATTTACTGAAAACCGACTTTTACGGGGGAAACTACACGTCAGGCTACATAACTGGTTTAAGCTACAACTTCAGCTGCGTTCTACACTCAAAAATGGCTTATGCTTCCTACCGTATTTATTTTGCTCTTAAAAACCTGAGACATGTTTTTACTTAATTCATCTTAAGATGTGGAAGTTCACAGCAGGCCAGAAGCTTAACTCAAAGACAAACAGAGCTGAGGTAGTCAGTTGTACTGAACTATTCTTTTTGACAGTCACCAATTCATTCTCCCTTTAAACTGAACCCGACACATTTCTTGGCAGGTCCAACGCGGCTACAGCTGCTAATGCACTGACGGGACAGAAGGTGTTGGATTTTGCCCGCTAAAGTACCTCCCCCCTGCCCCGACTCCCCACAGTCACGTCCAGTTCTGCAGTTCACAGCCAGCTGAAGGGCTGCACGTCAAAGAAATGACGACTGAAATCTCAGATGATTAAGGCAGTCACAGTTTTACTTCACTGGGTTCACTGATGCAGCTACTCAGCAGGTACTGGTGAATCTGAGCGCAAGAGCTCCGACAGGCAGACAGATTTGTCCCTCTAGGTACAACGCACTACAGCCGCTTTCTTTAATGAACGCACACAATTCAGAAGTAGGTAAGCATCGACTTTTTAAGCCATCTTTCAGTTAATTCTCAGGAAGAGAGAATAAAAGAAGAAAAGCCCTCAAGGTAAACAACTGTGTAGAAGATAAAAATATTCCATTAAATACGACAAATTTCACACTTACACAGACGGGAGACCAGCATATCAAATACCGAGCACAATAAATTAACACCAGTAAAAAAGTTTAACAGTTATAAAGTTAACCAGAAAGTTCAGACAGTGCAAATATTTCACAGTAAGAAAAAATAACCAATAATTTCTTTTCAAGTATCAAAAGCACTGTTGTTGAGCGATACCATTTAAACTGTATTATTGCACAACAGACAAAGAAATACAATATCAACCTCCGGGACCTACGATGTATACTCAAACCTTTATGTCTTCAAGGAATCAATTTACACCCACTGTTGCTTGTGCATATTAAAATAATCAGTGTCCACTTATTAATCTGGGTGTTTCTTAATTCGAACTTGTACGCATTTAAAGCATTTGATTCCTAATTTGTATTGCTTCTCAGAAACACCTATTTAAGGCTAGCCTAGGCCTTGTATAATTCAAAGCAAGCTTCACCTGCAGTTAGGAAGGGGAACTAGCCCAGTGCAAGGTACTCTCTCAACTCTGACGCCTTCAGACAGTTGTAGGTTGCAGCTTACTCACCTCAGCAGTGTCGCAAGAGTTTCTTTAAATAAAAAGAAGTCCAGTAGGCACAAAGATTTTCTTACGATTACAATGGAAGTTCTATTATTAAACAAGTTTAATTGTAGCTAAATAAATTTTACTCCCTACCTCTTCCATCCCCCTACCTTTCATTTTAGAAAGGGATCTAGTCACTGACAACTCTAACATCACAGCACATTTAAGAAGCAGAGTAACATCATCTTTCTCCCTATATTTGCATTTTTTAGTGCACTGGGCACATCTGCTCCCGCAAGTTTAACACTTTTCCAAGAATGAAAACTATCCTGACAGGACAGACAGCGGACTGGATCGCGTAAGAGTTTCTTTTACTCCGAACAGGATTATCTGTTACACATTATAGAGTCAGAAACAAATAAAAACAGCCTTACAAGTGTCCTATAGAGCGGCTGTCCTTAGCTAGACAGATTTTGCTCATTTCCTTCCTCTTACGTATGTTGTCCATCAAGCGACTGATTTTGTACCAAGGTGTGCCCTCGTGTGGTTCGAAGTGTCTTATTCTCAACTTATTACAAATACTCAAATAAACCATAGTATTTATATGCCCAAGAAAAGGGGGGGGAGATAAAAAAGACGGATCAGACTTTTCTTTACACATTCAATACAGTTTTTGGTCTAAAGAAGTCAATATGGTCCTGTAAGATTATAGCTGCCATCGCTACTGGCTTGCCCTTCAACAAAAAGCGAGAATTGCTGCATTTACGATCATACTATTGAAAAAATAATAATGCCATTATTTAAGAAATAAACCAACAAAATTAAAAATAATCAGAAATCCTATCCCAATTTTACAGGCTGGGTGTCAGTACTGAAATGCATTTGCCTAGCAAATTACTCTGAGAATATTCAAGCATTTGATGTATTAAATTTCACAGTAGAACTGGCACATGCTAAATGAGAATGGGATTTCTAGACAGTTGTCTTGGTTACCAGTCTGAAATTCCACTTTGTGCATGTAGGAAGGTTTAAGTGAACCCCAAGAATTAGCCGCTTTACTGCAAACTAGGAGGAATTCTGAGAAGCCTCAAAGCTGCAGAATCCAGTTGTGGAGACAATTGCCAACCACTGGTCTATCCCATTAAATTAGTTCTTCCCCCCATAAATTGTAAGAATTGACAAAACAAACAAACAAACAAACAAAATTCCCACACCTGTTTAAGCCTGGGTTATTAGCAGTGATGACAACTGATTTTTGCATGGCTTTTGACTAAACCACTGAGGTATATCTCCAGTTTGAGGATGCTTTGCTACCAGTCACACAGAGGACATAACAAAAAAACTAACCCTCAGTTCTATTACAGAAGAGGTCTCATTTCAAATCTTGACCGAGTTGCCAGGTAGTCTAACACAGTTGGCATAGCGGATCTTGTTACTGCGTCAAAAAATCAAAGGTTGCAATTCAGGAAAATACTGGCACTTATTGAGATGACACGGTAAATTTTCCTCCTCTCAAACTCTGGCTGCTTTTGTCAGTACGTCCCTGACTACTGTCTGCACCGATACTTGCCAGGAGAGATGAGGTTCAGCAGAAGACAGCTGCCTGCAGAGACAAAACACTCCATGTTCCGCACGATGGTATATCATCTTGGAACATCTTCTTACCCCATGCTTAACTCTACGCGCAGAGAAATAATCCTGTTAGCAGGGGAATTAAGTTAACCATCAATAGCCAAAGGGTTACAACCAGGCTAGACGAGCAGGAGCATAAGTCTAAAATGAAAAACAAAACACCATAAAGCTTATAAATTTTATATTTAACGAGAAGATAAAATAACAAAGAGAACCCTAAAAAACACCAAAGAGCAAAAACATATTTGCAGTAATCTGCACTGATTTATTCTAGCTTTCAAGGCTAGGAATTCAAACCAACCAGATAACATGATTATTCCCTTCACAATGAAACACATTTCTGCATTCCTTCGTTAATAGCAATTAGGAGAACAAATGAGAAAAATTTATCAGTGTTGCAAGAAAAGAGCAGGAAGTTCCCTATGGCATGACTGGAGAGAAGCAGCATTGCAAAAACCATAGATCCTCCCAAAGACCGTTTTATTAACACTTTTGGTCTGTATGGCTATAAGTCATATACAAACCCAAGCCACAAAACACCAAGCTGAAGAGGGGCAAAAAAAAAAGGGGGGAGGAGAGAACCCAATACATGAACCAGGGAGTTTGTCCGTATGGGAGGTCATCTCACAGCCCCACGGCTTAAGAAAACCACAGACACAAATGTAAACTTGCACAGATAAACGCCTTCTTGTGTGTGTCTGTGTGTGTGTGTGTGTCAGAGAGAGAGAGAGAGAGAGAGAGAGTGAGACACCAAGCATGACTTCAAATAGATATTAGAAGACATGAAACTCCTAGGTTACAGCTTTCTCATTCTAAAATCTAACGTATAGGACACATTCCACCAACCACTGAAATGTTGCCATCTCCGAGACAAAACAAAACAAAACAATTTGAAATGGTACACACAAATCCAAGTGTACCACTCTGAAAAAAGAATTGAATGTGCAAGTAAACTAATCAGGTTTATTTTTTTCCTTGAAAACTGCAGTAGAGACAACACATCCAACAATTAAAGAATTGGTTAAAGGCTTAAAAATAAGCCACTAGTGCAAAATACTGTAAAGACTGTTCTCTTTCATCAGCTGGCTTTTTAGAAAGCCATCTGTTCTTGACAAAACATTAACTCATAGTCAGTGAATTAAGCTTTTTTCCTCACTCAAAAAGCAAACTGACACCTATCTTTCATGTTCTGGATTACAGCATTAACATTGTCCACGGGAAATTACACAAGTGAGAACTCACTGTCCACCAAGGTGATCATTTTGAAGGTTATAATAATGATACGGCCTTCAAAACACAGATCAGATTTTCTGCTAAGTTGCTAGGCTGAAGCTAGATTTCTGGGACGATCACCAGAAGGAGACACGACACAATGTAGTTACGATGCAGACACATTTCTCCTATGTTAGCCACTATCCTGCACGACTGCGCAGCAAAGAGCAGGGCACCTTTGCCATCTTCCTTTAACTCCTGTGCCTAGGATCTCAGAATAGCCAGGCCATGGCTCCCCTTTCCTGTTCCCTGACTGGCAGAGCTGACACAAACCTCAGGAGTTTTCAGACGTTGAATATTAAGTTCCACTTCAGCAAATAAGGCAACCTACCAATTGGTGCAGCTCTTGTTAAGTTAGAAGCTGGAGGATCTCGCTCTGGGGGACAGGAGTCACAGAAGTCTGAACAGGCTGGGCAAATCAGATTCCCAACATGTATCCAGCCATTCATCTGAATGCTCACAGTTAACACCTGACCTGAGCGGCTGCACAAGTACGCAGTGTCCTTGACCCAAACATGCAGCCCTTGTGGAGAACAAGAAACCTTAAAAGAAAAGAATAAAAGTCAAGTCCGTATTGTGGTTTATCAGAAACATGTTTTGGGGGTCGGAGGCTCTTTCACTACATTCAGTAAACACCTGGTATTAGAGCATAGATTAACTGCAAGAATTTTAATACACTCAGAGCAACTATTTGGTTCAAGAATGCTTTAAAGCCCTGACAATTATGCAGATCATTAACTGAGAACGAGTAAAATTCAGCTTCTGCCAACAACTGCTTTTTTAGAGTTGTGCTGTTGTTGAAAGTGACACTTCTAGTTAGATAGTCCTGAAGAGACGGAGGAGAATGAAAAATAAGTGACATGGGCACAGCGCTTTCCACCTTTGAAAAAAATCAGAGTGACATTAAGCTTCAACAACAGAAGAATCCAGTATAAGTACTCCTACTTAGCTGCGGAGAAAGTGTCACAGGGGTAAGACAGATGAAGCCCTAGCAAGACTGGAAGTAACAGACAACCCACCCCAGTCACACGCTTAACTCTCTGCACGATCTAAACTACAGGCTTATGGTTGGAAGATACTTATTTTCAAAGCATGTCATATAATCTAGTGATTTCAGGCAGAGAAGATCATGTACAGTGTCCAGGTGCTAAGTTCTAACAGTCATAGCCTTCATTTTATGCCTGACTTTTCCCTCTAGCGTTATTTAAAAAAAATAAAGATAAAAACTGAACACGTACTTGGTAACATCCACTGCCCCAGTCAGGGTAACTGAGTTTCCTCCTGCACTGTTCCATGACAAAAGCAGATTTCTGAATAAGACATACAGAGTTTGGTCCGTATTTCTCTGCACCATAGTTTTTGGTAGGATCTAAGGTAGAAAGAACATACTGAATTGCAAGTTATTAGGGGAACAGAAAGTCCACATCAACTTAACATGCGATAAGTAGTCAATGTCTCCACACACAATTCAAGGTTTACTTTTGGAATCTTTCGGACTGTTAATCATTATCGATTTGGGAATTATACTGTCTTGAATATGAAGTGGGAAGAAACACAAGATTTTTTTAAATTTTGAATTTAATTTTTTTTACTTTCGATCAGAACTATGTGGATACGTTTGCCCCCAGGGAGTGCCAGCTGTGATTGCTGGCTTGAGGGCAGAGGGTGTTTATTTGTTTGTTTTTAAGACAACTGCACACACAGGTAATATCCTACAGCATCCTGGAGCTCTGCAATATTGAGCATACATGCACTACCCTAGGAGACAAGCCCTGTTCTTGTTGCGGTAGTTTGCAAAGCTCCTTGCCTTGAACAAAAAAACCTACAAAGGTGGAAAGCGGAATTATTTTTCAGAGACTCAAAAAACAACCAAGCAACCCACCCCTACCCGTTTTGTCTCGGATTTGGATCATTTGCGGTTAATTTCTGTTCAGCTCTTGTGCAATTCTTGTATTAGACGTGAGTGTTTGCCTCCTAGGTGTACAAGGTAGTTGTGCTGTGCTTCTCACCCCAGCACAGCTTTTACACAGCTAGTACCGTAAAACTAATTTCACATCCAATTAGTTTGGATATACAGCAAGTCCATTCCAGATTAACGAGTGTAGTCTCTTAAATACCATACTGAAGTCCTGAAAACTGACCTGGTTGGTTTTCAATTATTCTACAGTCTGAGCTGCGTTGAAATTCACCACTTAAATGCCAACTGAATTCTTGACTAAAGGGACAATAGTCAGCAATTTCTACTGAGCCACCATAATAAGGCAATTCTTCTGCTGATACTCCAGTCAGATTGTCAAAATACTGCAAAACAAAATAGGTGGTGAAGCTGTTTGTGCAAAGACAAACGTACAACTGTTTTTTAAAATAGAACCGATCACTAGAGCTATAAGAACATCAGCTATTCCTACTCAGAAATGCAATTAACAGCAACTTACGATACCCATGAACCAGATGAGCCGAACTATTTAAAAATACTTAAATAATGCAGAGAGATTCACATTCGCATGTATCACTCCCCACTCCTTCCCCTGCCCCCCCTTTGCAATCACAGCGTTCTCTGGGATGAGACAGAACAAATTTCTTAGCGTGCAGTGACACAAGGCAGCAGATTGGGTGAAGAAATACCTCAAACAAAACATTGTGGGGGACTTCTGTTATACAGCAACCTTTCCATCTGATATTTGGTTAGATGGCCAAGCGACATCCTTATTGTTTTATTGAGATCACAAGGCTTTTTTTCAGCCTCCAGACTCCTTATAATAAACTAAGCAGACATTTTCCACAATATCTACTCTCGTCTACCAGTTCAGAAGAAAAAAAAAAAAAAAAAAAGAGAAACAAATATAATCACCTGTCTGCAAAGCACAAGAATGAAAACACTTAGTTATTTGGTAAAGTAAGATCCATTATACCTGATATTCCTGAGGTAACTGCTTTGGAAACTTCTGCAAGTTGCACACTGCTACTGCTCTTTGGTCCTGTCTACAGGTTAACTGCAAAGGATTACTCCTCAAAGTGTCGCAGTATGGACTGATCAATTGCCTCCTCAAAAAAAAAAAAAAAAAAAAAAGGAAAAAAAAGAATAAAAATGACATTAGGTCACTGTAACCGCTTTTCATAATTTAACTAAGCAGTCTGTCAAGACTGTCTGTTCCCACACTCCCCCACACTCACTCAATCACACAAAGAAGCACCGACTTCTTCTCTGGAGGCTAATTATTGTTATTTGTCTGGTTATGACCTTTCTAATTTAATGAATATCAAGCCAGCAAACAAAGTTACAATGCACTCACCTATTTAGTTTTAATGACATTGCTTTGCAAACTTTAAAGAAAAAAAAAAAAACATACAAGCAAAAGGGGCCCACTATGCAGCTGTGCCCTAGAAATTTATGAGTATTGTAATGAACAAACAAGGAAGACTTTGTTTTGAAGATGGCTATCATCTCCTCTGCTTTAAGTACAATCCAGTAACGCAAAATACGCAGGCTGCATTTCCATTAAAAGGGACACAGTAAGAAAGCAAACACTTTTAGCTTGAGTCCCTCCTCTGTAAAGCATAGCTCTCTTATAGTGTAAATGCATTCCACACCCTAAGATGTTTGGCTCTATTTATTGGGTGGGATGCTTCTGCTCTTAATACATTGGGTGTGCTCCTTCTTGGTTGCATTCTGAAGGTACTTCAGACAGCATTCCTTGTTAATCTGTATCTACCTCTACTTCTTTTTACTGAGTTGCATTTGAAGGACAAATGTAAACAAGCATCATTATTTTTTAAAAAGACTGAATTCTTACTTTTGTCTCTTTTGGTCGATCCAGAATTTACAGCTCTTCATTACAAAGTCACAGCCTTTATTGCGTCCCCAATCTAATTTCTCTGCCATGCTGTAATTTGCTTTATACCAGCTGTAAAGGTATTTTGAAATGAGAATACAGTTACTTCCAAAATTAGTGTTCTGATTAATACAATAGCAGTTCAAAGAACTTCATACTATGCCTTAAGGTCTTCAAATGAAGAAAAAGGGAAACTGCATCCCTTTCTGCCTGTAACAAAATATATTACAATTTCACTATTTTTCAAGTCACAATGAACTAAAAAGAAAATTGTGTTGCTTATTTGTTCAACAGCAATGCATTGTGATCTGCAAAGGAACAATGGATACAGAAAGATGGAATTTTAGACAATTTATGCTTTCTATCTGTAATAAGAGCTGAAAAAATAATCAATATGTACTGCATGCAACTGAGAGAAGCCTTATGAAGAAAAAAAGTAAACAGACACTACAAACAGTACTATGCACTGCAATGTGCGTTTTTTAAGGCTAGATTAATAATGGATGGGTTTTGAAACACATGAAGAAAAATTAACATAGTAGGTATAACTCCTTGTCTAATATAATGCTAATTATGCCAATTATCTACTGTGTTGCAGATGGAAAGCACAAGTGCATCAATTCCAAATAAAATCAAGTACAACGAAAACCAAACAGAAATGAACCAAAAAAACCCCACCCATTCTTATTAATTCTTACCCTGTGTCTTCCATTAATGCTAAGGTGATCCTGGAAAAGACTCGATTCTGTGTATGGGATCCAGTCATTGCTTCATTCTGAAAGTTACCAGTTATTATTAGCAAGCCACTGAAAATCATTATTGTAAGAAAATGCTTCCTACGAACAAGCACTTTATTTCCAGTCCCTTCTTCCTATTGACAATCAAATCCCAGCCTCTTTCATAAAAGGCATCAAAAGTGCAACTCCCTTCCCCACTCCACCCTACAAAGCTTCAGAATTGTAGAAGTCAGAAACCCCATTCCAAATTCCAGCTAAACCTTATTCATGACCAACGTGTACTTGTTTTTCTCTAGGTAAAATAAAACTCTTCCTTCTTCTAGCATATTTATGAGTAGCAATCACACCCCCCTCTTCTGTCTCCTTTTGGTAAGCTGAAAGCCAAGCTCATTTAATTGTCTTGTGTAAGGCTGATTTTTAATTTTTTCTAGAATTTCTAGTAGTCCTTTTCAGGAGCCAGGTGCACAGGACACATGACTAAAGGAACAGAGCACTCCAAAGGAAGCTTTAGTAGTGTGGCAGTGGCATTTTCCATCTCATTTAAAAATAAGCAAGTTCACAGTGTCCTCAAAAAGCAGCTCCAGTCACCTTGGAGTTTCCTGATCGTCTTACAACTGGCAATTGTAACACCCGTGTCTTTTTCCTGCTCAGTCATTTCCAACTGATCAACTTCAGGCTTACAGCAAAAGTCACTCATCCTTACTCAGACAACTCTGAGATTTCTGTTACTGAACTTCATCTCATTTCCTCAAAACATAGTTTTTCAGCCTTCCCTCTCCACTAGTGTGGTTAGGAGGAGTTACCGCCAGCAGACTTACTAGCACCAAATTTGCTAAAATACTTAACGAGAGTTGGATCAAGACCAAAACCAAACTCTATGGGTTACTTTCCAGATACAAACTTTCTCCGGAAAGGTGTAAAGGAGACTAGTAATTATCTCCTTTTTGCTAGTCCTGTTCAATCCTTCGAATTATCCTCATTCTAATGGCAGTCTTTCCAGTTGGCTTTAAACTGCTGTTCCACACCAAAGGTTACTGAAAAGCACGAAAAGCTAACAATTTGGGTCTCAAGAAATATGCATTTTTCAAGATTACTTCCACAAAAAGGTCTGTCCTGAAGCATTTCCCTTCTTGTTTACCTCACTGCATACAACAATAACTACAAAGTGTATCTCTGCCCAAAAGTTACAAATAAAACAGTTGTAAATAACAACGCAAAGTTATAAATAAAATAAGCTTAAATGTCAGGAGGGAAATAAGTGTTTCCTTGAGCAGATGAGGTTCTACAGCAGAGATAGCAAAAGCTAACCCCAGAGCACATGAATAAAGATGAAGTCAAGATAATGAATAGACAGAATGATCAAATATTTGATGTGTAAGAGGCAGAGGGTGACAAAGTTGAATTGACTCAAAGGAATACCCCCTTTCCCCTAAAAAGGGAACATACCTTCTCAAAAGGGTAAATGGCAGACAAAAGTAAGAGACATTTAGTTTTTTAGTAATCAGCTTATCTCAAACTCGTACTCTGAGACTTAGCAGTAAGATAAAAAGATAGATTTATCTGGAAATTGGACATTTAAGTATTTCTAGTTTAGCACAGTTTGTGATATATTTCAGTGAGGTTTGACACACCTGCATTTTCAAGGCTCCAGTAGGTACCACTATAAACCTAAAAATAAAGGTGGGGGGAGCAGACATTCCCCCATCCCCCCCATTCCTAATATCAGCACTGACCTCCAACAATCTCTTCTCCCAGTGATTGAGCTCAGTACCCATGCCACCTTGATTTTCAAGCTCCATTCCCTCTAGAACTGGACAATTAAAATGTTTTCGAGCTTCCTCCTAGAAAGAAAACATTTCAACACAACTCTCAAAATATTGAGATGGATACCCATATGAAGTCCTAATCTTCTAGAATTATCTTTTAAAAGTATTTCAGCATTTCTTTTTCTACCCTCTTGTTTTCCTCCAAATGTAAACCACTTCTACTCAAAGGCCAACTAAGCCAGCAAGTACCCTAACACCAAGCCTAACAACCTGTCTACTTATCTCCTGGAAATAAATGATGGAAGTTTACAAGAATAAAACAGCAACAGAATTAGCTGAGAATAGCATGCACACACTAAAGACCATATGAAAAAAACAACAACAAAAACCACCAAACAATTGTCCTGGTTTCGGCTGGGATGGAGTTAATTTTCTTCCTAGTAGCTGGCATAGTGCTGTGTTTTGGATTTAGCGTGAGAATAATGTTGATAACACACTGATGTTTTAGTTGTTGCTAAGTAGTGCTTACACCAGGCAAGGACTCTTCAGCTTCCCATGCTCTGCCAGGTGCACAAGAAGCTGGGAGGGGTTCCACAACGGAAGGAGTGTTCCACAATGTAGGAACACTACAACCCTGCTTCTGCCAAACATGTCAGAGAAAAAAAAAAACAACCTTTTCTCTTAGGAAGCTATATGCGTCAACTAGTTTTGCACAGGGAAGTGTTTTCTGCAAAATATTTGAAAATCTGAAGAGGCATGACAACAATGCTGCGTTCTTACGGGCAGGAGCCCAGCCTTTGCCAGTGCGGCACTACCCAGAGCACCTTTAATGCTCTGCGCAGTTTGACCAGCACGGCCAATTTTCAAATCAGGGGTAATTAAACCAAGTTCGCTCTATATACTGTGTTAGATTTAAAACAAACAGAAAGATTATTTGTGGCCAAATATAATTAACACTGTAACTTATTTCCAATACCAATTTATTACACTTAAACATATGTTCTGTTGGGGGTAGGAGGGAGAGTCAGAGGCGTGGGAAGCAAGAAAGATTTCCAAGAATACTTGAGGAATTGCTTTTTAAACATGACAAAATGTTAACTGCATTACTTTGTAATCAATAAAATTAGAAAAAGATCAAAACAATGCTTTTAAAGAGAAAAGTAGAAAAAAGGATGAACTTATAAATAAGAAAAGCAGTGACAACACTATCTGGGAAGGCAACAGGAATACTAGGTGCCTAAGTCTGTAGGAAAACATCTAAAGAGTAGGATCAAGGAATCTATTCAACACCAGCTTTGCTTAACCTTTTATAATTTACTTCCCGGTCCCTTCATTGTCTCTTACTATGTCAATTTATTTATTTCACACTGTCTGTCAACCATTTTCCACTTTTACTTTGGATACACCCTCTCAACTAATTATACAGTCTTAATCGTGTAGTCTTTGGGCCATACTTTCAGGAAAAGGGTATTCAATGTTAGGTTATTACTTCTTAAAGAATAAGAAATATTTACGACTCAAGAATGTGATGGCAACCTTGGCATACAAAGCGTAAAAGTTTAAGTTAATCCACACTTACAACTACACGAGGTGTTATCAGAAGATAAACAGCATGGCGCAGCATTTTGCCACCACGTACATCCCATAATCTCACAGCTTTATGAACGACTTTGTTGCTCCACTGATACAAACCTAGACTGTAAGAACATTTTGGTTACAAATCTTTCCCACAAATAGACGCTGCTGTGCAAAGATTTATCTCTGTAAGAAACAGAATCATGAATAACCTCTATACTTCCTCATGCTTTCTGAAGTTTAAAGTTGTTATGCAACATTTCTCCTTTTTAAGATATGTGTTCATTATATACACAACTCTGATTTAATAAGCCAAAGTAAAATTATTAAAAAGATGCCTGTAGGCTCAAGACGTATTTTCTACAGTTACCAAAAGTGTAAGAAATTAAATAAAAATCCTCAGAATTGCTATTATAAAAAGGTGAACAAAACCAAAAGCTCTCCATCCTTCCACCTCCAAAAAAACCCTAGAACATTCCTACAATAGCAACTAAATGAAGAAGAAAAATGCAAACTGTTCATTCAGTCACGCAGCAGACTACACACATTGTCAGTTCTGCACAGCTATAAACCTTGAATGATGCATGCCTTCAAAAGGAACTGCACTTGACATTAGACAGACTACAGAAAATATAAGTCTCAATTTAGCAAGGTGTTCAGCAAACATCGAAATTTAAGCACGAGTAATTTTAATGCTTAACTTCAAGCCTCCTGATAAATGAAATCCTGCCTTGGTTTGTAATATATGCGGATAATATAAGCACTTAATGCCAATGTAAAGAAAGACTGAAAAAAAAACCACCCCACACCAATGTTTGAACATAATAAAGGCAAAGCATTCTAATAATGGAATCAAGTTGGATTTTCAACAGGCAAGAATACATCCTAAAAAGGCAACATGAAAACGTCCTTCAACGTGAGTACCAAGAGGTCCAAAAAAAAAAAATACCTTTCATTAAAAGGAGGGAGTCCATCTGCGTATCTTGCTGTCAAAGGTTTTCCATCATCATCACGATAAAATGCAAACAGTCCAGCGGAGAAACCCTTCAAGTTAAAAACCAAGCACACGGAAACCTTTGGTAAGACATTCTCATACAAGGTCAAATGCGATGAAAGAGTTTTCACTCCCACCGCAGATACACTAGAAGTACCACACCTCAAGGCAATTAACACACAAATTGAAGGAGGCAAAGCAAGACCTTTCCTCCACCAAACATCCTTCTCTTGCAACAAGCTGGAGGTATGCGAGGAAGCAGGCACAAATTTCAGGGAAACACATTTTATAACATCGACGCTTACCAGTGCGTGGATAATCTCATGTTTCACTGTAGACAACATGCCGATGAATTCCTGAGCTTGCGTTGAAATCATATTTGGACACAAGTTAGCATATCCTGCTATTGGCCTGGAAGACAGTTTTAAAATTAAATTGTTTTCAGTAAAATACTAGCAAATTCAAATCATATTCTCTTCAAGAGGCAGAAAATTTAAAAGAAAATGGATACTAATGTAAAAATAAGTCCTTCCAAACAACTTCCCCGATCATTAATAAACAGTCCATTAACAATACAGCAACTAGTTTACTGTTGAAATGGGGAGGGATGGGACAGGATCAATCTTTATATTCAGTATTCTGCACAGGTGTTAGTGACAACAGTACAGCAGATCTGAATTTTAGGTAAGGCCTACCGAGGTACAAAGTGTGTTACAGTGACTACAACCGAACTAGAAACAGAAGGCACGTAAGCGGGGCCCATTTGCATCCTCCTTTGAATTTGTGAAAGTATGACACTCCCTTCAACAGAAGCAGGATCTTGAAAGTTTAGGCAATAACAGTGGAGGATTAGCTTTGCATTAAATGCCTCATCTTTGCAAGTCAAACACTATTTGGTTGTTTTGTGGGTTTACATAAATATAGTGCTTGTCTATTTCAATAATGACTTCTACTTTGCTATACTATACAAGACACGCAAGCAATTAAACTCCACATCTAAACAATTAAAAAACTCGGAAGCTTAATTAAAAAAAGAGTTTGTACCAGCGGGAATACTTGCCTGTCCATTTCAGCTTCCAATTGGCAGTAGGCTGCGTATGCAATGATATTTTCATGGCCACACCTTTCAGTAGTGAGAGCGCTAACGTAAAGTACAAAGTCAGCGTCTCGAACCCCTTCTTGGTCAGGTAAGCCAGTGGGTCCCCAGTGCCATTCCGTCTCATTGTACACCCTGCATTGCTTTGACAGTATTCAAATGGAACAATACTTTAGCTATGACCAAAATTTTGCATGACAAAATTCTATTAGCTTGAAGCCAAGAATAAATCCCATTGTAAAACTGCAGATTAGAAAACTCCCTATGAAGACAGTAAACAAAAGCATAGCCAAGGAGTAACTTTCAAATTACTAGCTCTTTTGGTTTATTAGACACCAAGAAGGTGGAAGCTTTTGAAAAAAAGGGCCTGCCAAGCTAGATATCCCCAAATTAGCACCCTTTATTTCCTACAAATTAAAAAAAAAATTGGCTCACAGAAATAGAATGCATAAGTAGCAACTGCGTTTCACATGTAACCCGGCACGTTTTTAACACTGTAGTTGAAACTTCAAGCTAAGAAAGAAAGAAACCTACTGATCACATACTGTAGTTTAATCAAAAATTCATGCAAGAAAACAAGTTAGAAGCATTTCCTGCACCGTGCTCCTGGTCCCTCTTCAAAAAAGGTCTTCAAAAATCAAAACTTATTATTAATTCTGTGAAAATCTGACTCACTGACCAAGGTGAATAATGAAGTGACTAGTGGCAATTTAACAAGCTTTGAATCTCAGCCCCTCTGTACAGTTCATTGTAACACAGGCTTAGAGAACAGTAAACAGTCCAGTTTTACTTGACTTTTGGTTCAACAGCATAAACGAAAGAAACTCCCGCTAACTAAAGTTGTTCTATTCTGTCACTCAAACTTAGTGTTCTCCTGCAAACAGGTCACTTCTGCACAGTTAGTGATATTAACTCTTTTATTCATTTCCACAAACAATAATATTTCAAAGGTTAAGAAGCACTTGGATGGCTTAGCTTACCTGGAGGTGTTTCTCAGGAACTATAACTGGCCCACATCTTGTATGGTCTGCGCAGGGTCCTAGGCAGTATCTGTGAGGGTCAGCTTTCCTCCGTAAATATTGGTTTGTTGTACACTGCCTTCAATCAAACATGAAAGACAGTCAGCACTGTTTTGTAATTAAAAAGAAACTGTAGAACAGTCTTACAGCACCCAACAACACTGTAATACAGGTATTTAATGTAACTTCCACGGAGAGAATTGTTAGTTACCCTGCTCTGGAAGACATAATGCTTCCAGTTGTTAATGGAGTATCCACAGGCTGAAAGAAAGATTACGAACAGGTTCATACATGGGGGGTACATGTAAAAGGAAACAGGCAGCATGTACACCCTGTAAAATCTCAGGTACAACAAATGTAGATGTTGATCACAGAAGGCTGGCAGATTTGTGTATGCTCCCTAAATAGCATCTGCTACCACCACTCGGTCAGATGGGTCACTGGTCCGATTCAGGAGGGCGCTTCTCTGGCTCTTACTCTATTCTTATTTTAAAGGCTATACAACACAGTGTTAAATATCAAATACAGCGAGTGATTTTCAACAAACTTTCACATACCTGCTTAGTAATATAGTACCCGTGGATTTGCGCACTTGAAACGTCTTCTCCAAGTAAGATATAGCTTGTGGAAAAAGTTTGTTCTAAATAAAACAAAAATAAAAGTCGCCCAGTAGCAGCGCAGACATAAGTCACCTTACAAGCATTAACTACCAAGTTACATGAAACTTACTACATGCTGCGGTATAGCAGAATAGCAGAAATCCAGACTTCCTAAGAAGTTCAATTGTTATCAATATATTTAGGAAATATTTTGTTTCGGTATTCCCATATTTTGTTATGGGAATGACAAAATGAAAAGGGAGCCAGTATTAATTTGAATGTACAGCTTCAAAGAGGCTGAATTTATTTCAGCCCTGACCTTACCGGTCACTGGGAACTGTCCATCACAAAGTTCCCTGGAACTCCCGTCTCCCTGCAATCCGCAAGCCTAACTGCTGCACTCTTTTTTTACTCCTTACTTGCACAGTATCTCAAAAGAAGCCAAGAGGGATATTTAAAACACTCTTAATAAGGCCAAAATAAGCTTTAAAAACTATATGCATATGGCTCACTGAATCTTTGGACATTGGGATGCAGCAAGCACCAGTCAAACAACATTCAATGGAACATCAGAAGTATCTGAAACCGAGGCATAATCTGTACACAAAGCCTTGGTTTCCCTGACTAGAGGATATGAAATTGCTGGTATTCAAAGCCTTTAATTAGAGGCTTTAATTAAAGGCTTTGAATTGGCAAAGCCTTAACTTCATCCACATAATAAAATACGTACAAACAAAAGAAGGAAGCAAATATGGCATACCTTTATAAGGTGTCTTTTCTCAGGTAGCAAACTATATTTAAAAAACAAAACAAAACAAACAAGCTTTACTTAACAGGATTTCCATTCTCAGACATGGAGGAAAAAAAAAAAGTCACCACAACATGAGACTTACTCCTCGACACTTCTGTCATATATAGTCTTAATTCTCAGCTGCTGATCCACATTTCTCTTCGAAACATGATTTTCCTTTAGAGGAACTTGATAGACAACCTGGCAGGGAGAGGAACACGCCGCTGGATGAGGCAGCTCACCTGGACAGCCACACCAAGGAGTGCTCCCAGGCCCTTCACTCCTCGTCTGCAAGAGCCTCTTTTTGTCTGTTTTTAAGCAAAGCCCCTTCCCGCCCTTCTCCTCACACACCGCCCCGCAGCCGCCCGCCGCCACGGACCGCCCCCCGGGGGGCGGCGGGCCCGGCCCCTGCCCAGCTCGGCCACGGCTCAGCCGTGAGGGGACAAGACCGACGCTCCCCCCACAACGGGAGCGGGAAACGGGGGGATCCCTCACACCCCCAACTCCCCCCCGCGGCCGCCCCACCTCCTCTCCGCTGGGCACGCGGTGGTGACAGGACAAGGAAGAAGAGGCGGAAAGGGCGGCGGCGCGGCCACAGCCCAGCAGGAGCCACGCGGCGGCAAAAGAGGCGACGCAGC